CTCGGAGCCGCCCCGGCACGCTGCCAGCAAGGCCCTTTGGGGTTTGAACTATGAGTCTGCACGAGGAGGGGGAAAAGAAAAGTTTCCCAGTGTCGGGCAATGATTTGCCCTTCGCAATCCCTGTTATTCACGCCTCTCCACACGGCTGCTCAGAGCAGCAGCTCACTCCTGGGGGTCGCTCTGCAAGCACTGCCCTCTGCCTGCTGGACAAGACCACGCGAGCGCAGGCTCTGAAATGGTCTTGTGAGCGCAGCCCCCGCAGGCACGGGGGGGTGAAGCCTGCGGAGCCGCAGGGTCGCTCCCAATCCCATGGGGGCACGTCACCCCGTCCGGCTGCTCAGCACCTTTGCAGGCACAGATTCTGCCCTGGCTGTTACACCCGGCTCCCCGTGGCATCCGGAGGAGCTGAGCAAGCACTTGCAAGCAGAGTTCCTCCAACACGTCCTAAGGACAGGCCATGAACTTGTTCCCTTCCCCTGCCTCCCGCCTTTGCCTTTCATAGAATGGTTTGGGTTGGAAGAGACCCCTAGAGGTCATCCAGTCCAACCCCCTTTGCAGTGCCCGTTTTAATTTACAGGTTTATCCCTCTGCAGGACAAAAGTCTGCGTTTCAGGTTCAGAGGAGCCCACGCAGCGGCGGTTCTGGCTCAGCAGCCCCCGAGCTCCGGCGGGCTCGGCGCCGTGCGGGTACGAGCCATTTCTGTACCAAGTAGCTCAGCACCAGAATTCATTTTGCTCACGCGTAACTGGGCTGAGAAGCCCAGAAAACCAGTGTAAAGGCGGCGCCTGCACATGCAGCTGCAACGACGCTTTAGGAACGGTTTCCTTAGCCGCGCGCCTGGCCTGCCGGATGAGTAAACCCGACAGCAAGGCTGGGCTCCGGGCTGCTTGCACACCACCTCCCCCCAGGAAAGGCCAACAGAAACCTTGTCCCATGTTCTCACGGCTTTTTCAACGTGAGTGTCTTCCGCGGCCCCAATGCCATTGCGCTCGGCCATGGGACCGGCCCCAGAGGGGGCTCAGCCCCGCGCCCCTACCTGCTTGGAGACCTTGAGCCAGGTTTTCTTCAGGCGGAAGATGGCGCTGCGGTTGAGCGAGGAGGTGATCTCCAGCACCGCGTTGTAGTTGTGCAGGCACCGGCAGATGTCCGCCACCGCCACCCACTTCTCGATGGCGCTCACCCGCGCGTTGATCTCCTCGTTCCGGAGGATCTCCGACGCTATCAAGTTGCTGACCTGGGGAGGGGGGGGAGATGCCCGTCCCAGCCCAGGTGTCAGGAGGGCTTTGGCCAACAGCGCGTGCCCCCCCACCTCGCAGCATCTTCAACAATTATTTCCCTTCTCCGCAGCGGCCCCAGCAGGAGCAACTGCACCGGCTCTGCTCCGCCTGCCGCGGGTCCTTAGGGCACGTAGCACCCGGGGGGGCAGGAAAAGCTCATCCATCCCCATCCCTGGCGATGGCCCGTGGCAGGGTGGCTGCGCTGCCTCGCCTCTGCCCACCCCCCCGTCCCCGCCGCGCCTGCGCTTACGTCATTAAAGTGTTTTGTGTTCTTCATGATGTAAGGAGTCCTTTCGTTCTTCTCGAGCTTCATCCAGCCTTGCCCAAAGAACTCTCTGCAAACAGCAACATCCAGGTCAACGTTTATTTCCCGTTTTCCTGAGACACCCAAGCCCTACGAGCTCCGGCCGCACCCGCACAGGACGGAGGTGCCAGGGCCCTCGCCCCCCACGCTGCCGTTAAGGGACTGCACGGACGCACTCGCACGTGTGATGGACACGGGAGGCTCTCCCTGAGCCCACCACCCCGGGGACACCAGCAGATAAACCACAGGGTCGGGCCTCAAATCTGGGCTCAAGCCCAGCCCAGGCTGGGCACAAAGCGGGCGGCAGCCGGGAAGGGGTGGCACCCTCCGGGGTT